GAGCATGCATGCATCAGCAACACTATCCCTCTAGTCTTGCAGCACACGCTGCAAGGCTGTCAGGGATCGCCGCGCCGCTGGGCTCGGCGCAGGCGCAGTGCACCACCCTGTGCAGGGACACGGGTGCCGGAACCTGGCCGACCGCGGCAACCAAGTTCGCGCATGCGCAGTAGAGACCGCGGGCGCGCGCCTGGCACCACTGACAGCGCAGGGCAGGATATTTAAACGGACCTGAGCTGTCATTCAGTGCCTTCTGGTCTCTTGTATCCTGTGAACCTGTTAACCTGTCAAAGTAAGTTGCTGACCCGGATTGTGCCCTGCCCTTGCTGTTTTCTCCTGTTTTGACCCTTGCTTGCCTGACCTCTCTCCTGAATGCCCCCTATTGGATCTGACCTGCTGTTGCTGACCTGGCGTGTGACCCGACTATTCTTTGCCCACTGCTCTGTACCGCACCGTCCCCATAGTTACCGACCCGGCTTGTATGACCTTGCACTTGCTCAGCCATCCATCCATCCCTCTCAACGGGGTCTCCAGACCTCCTCATACCTGGCTGTCTCCCGTGGGAGCCCCTGGCGAATACCCCTACCACTGACGGGTGTCCCCAGTAGTCACGACCTGGTCCCGGGGTACTCCAAGTCCATCCCCACCATCAGGGGCTCTGGTGAACAAGTACTCTGGGGCTTAGACTCCGTACGCTAGGAACGACCGATCAGTGAAGTGCTAGTGGTACCGCCGGGCGGTCCCTTACAAAGGCATAATGGATAGGGCACTTAAGGCAGAACAGCAGGAGGAAGAAGAGGATTTCCTTTCCTCTTAAGGCCCCCTTTATGCAGATATCATTCCTTTGGGGCCGCATAACACACAGGAGGTGGAGGAAGAGGAGGGGGAGTATTGTGGCAGCATGGAAGTAGAAGATAACATATGGCAATCTTCAAGGGATGGTTTTCAGTCCCCAGAAACCAAGCCAGGAAAGTAGTACGTGGCTGGGAGGATGTAGTTCCTGACAGTGTCATCCTCAGTGACCCAGAGTGCTCAGAATCCCATGCCTCCTCAAACTTACACTGTATCGGCTCCCTGGATCTGCAAAGCCTGCAAAAGGACCTGAGGAATCAAGGAAAGGGATCAATACTGGTAGGCAACCCTTCTTGATTCACGTTACAAGGATAAAGTTGTAGAGCTCATCCTGCCTCTGCAGAGGGAGCAGAGGATGAAACATCTTGAGGACGCCTTGAGAACATTTTGTGTAACACCTTTTCAGACTCTGGAAGGTTACCATTTCCTGGACAACGTGTTTCTGAAGTTTCGTTCGGTCAAAAGAAGAGCGGTGGAGAAGGCCCAGGGCTGTTAGATTTAGGCACCCACAGGCAGCGTCTGCATCATATGGTGCAGGATTACCAAGGGGAAAAAGAAGACTTGGAGTGTAACGATTGTGCGCAATAGAGACATGGAAGCTGTACCCGACAGCCATCTTGTGAGGTTCTCATGAGCAGTGTTCCTACCCCTCCCCCCTTGCAAAACTATGGAATTTGTAGCTGTAACTTTTAACAAAATTTCAAAAGATCTTCCTATCTTAATTAAAACATAGAGCTGGCCAGGCTGTAAACAGCTAATTAGTCTTGGCAGGATGTCTGTTTCCATTAACCATGGAAAACACTTTCCTCTGCCTCTCATAAAACAATAATAACTCTGTCAAGCCATCACACATGACCTGAAAGGCCATTAAGGCTCTAGGAATGCAGAGCATGCCATAAAACGTCTATTTCACAACCTAACAATTCCACAGACAATTCATAGAATTCAACAGGAACAGGGCACATTAATATTAGGTATATATTTGAATAGGAAATATCATACCAAACAAATCAAGGTCACATAGGAAAGGGGAGAAAACAGTCTCCTCCCTTCTGGTTGACAAGGTATGCTGTATTTGGTATCCCTCGGTTCGAAATAAAATTCTGAATATTAATCTGCCAGTTGCTAGAATACCACCTGCATGCATTGGAGGTTAGTAATATTAGTGTAAAACTGTAGTTAGAACTTTGGTCATAAATTTAGTGACCTCCTAGCATACATCCCTTAAACCGGATTATTGGTCAGATGGTCTGTGGCGACACCCCTTTGATATCATAGAAAAGGGACTGACCGGATCTAGTAAAGAAGCTCTCGTGTAACATCAACCAAGAACAACTTTACGGACTTGAGAGCCAAGGCAGTGTTTTTTGCTTGGACAAGTGGATTCTTCTAAAACCGAGGACTTTGCAAGTATTCTGCCTTCTTAACTCCTTTCTTTTATCTCTCTGTTACATTATCGTTCTCTTTATTTCTTTGTAACATCCCTTTCTGTAAATATTTTAATTGCACCATTTGACCTTTTCAGTAATAAACCCTATTTCTAAAAGTGCTAATAATAAGAATCCCTTTCTCTTGAAGAGTGCTACTGTATATTCCTCTGAATATACTTGTCTCTGGTGACAGTGTGTTTTTTTCAAACGTTTATTGTTCACATTTGTTCTTGCTAACATTGTGAAGGGTTGATAGTCCCAAAGCTATCTGGTGGCAGTTCGGAGTTTGAAGGGATAATTGCGTAATTAATAACCCAGTGACAATTTCTCTCAGACTGCTGGCACATAGATTGAGGGCTGGAAAATCTCTGTGCAGGGTGCAGCTCAGGGTGGCATTGTTACGCAAGTGACAGCGCAGTGTGATATTTGCTGGTCCTTTGTCACGAGTTGGTGGGAAGGGTAGGGGTTAGACACCACATTCGTCACATGGAGACCTTTCTAACTGAGCATGCACTTAACTTAGTCTTGAGGATGTATCACTGGCCAGAACTTGCTCAATATGCCATCAAGCTAACTTTCTAAACAAAGGGCCAGTTTACTGTCCTTTAGACTTTAGGAGGGCCATACTGTGGCCAGTGGGAGTAGAAAAGGTCCCGAATTCAGTGAGAAAAAAATAATACCCTATTGTTTGGGTCAGTCAGAGGAATTGTGCCCCATCATTGGTATTATTGGGAGGAATTGTGCCCCATTACTAGTGTGATTGGAAAGCATTGTGCCCCCTTCATTGGTGTAAGGGGGGGGAGAATTATGCCCGATTGCTGGTATCAGTAGATGAAATAGTGCCCCAAGAGCCAGATAAAGGCTAGCAAAGGGCCGCATCTGGCCCCGGGCTGCAGTTTGGGGACCACTGCTTTAGGCAATGAAAAATGACTGCCCCTTTAAAATGGAACTTTTTTAAATGTATTTTTTCACTGATTCATGTCCCTTAGAGCAGTACCAAATCCCCAATACCCTTTTATGGCCAATAACTTGCATATAGGCCTTCAAAATGGGCACTTCTGATTTTAAGTTCGAATCCCATGGACTTGCATTATGTTTGAAGTTTGGGTCCAACTTTTGTTAGTATCAAATGTTCGACCGCGAACCGAACAAGGGGGTGTTTGGCCCATCACTAAAAATAAGTGGTAGGGGGTGAAGGATTTGGGGGGGGGGGGTAATAATGAAAGATGTCTTTAAGTCTGCCTAGTTCTGCTGGGTTTCTGCTGCAAATGTACCACTGGGCTTAAAGCATCCCTAAATGCAAAAGTTTTTTATTTTTTATTTCATGTAGAGGGAAATGGCTATGATCCCTGACAAGTTTTACTTTGCTCTGTGTCCCGTTTGGAAGATTTCCTATCCTTTACACACAACTAATCTAAAAAGAAATTCCCTCAACATCTGGTGAAATGCTCTCTTAGATAATTGTCACCCAACAAGTGTCCTTTGAATTACATTGTATTTCCCCTCTATTCCTGTTACAGTGATAACTATTTTATATTTTGTATTTTATATTTTCCCTGACTTTTAATCAGTGATAACCCAGACAAATATAAATTTCCCTAATAGAGGCACACTTTGCAAAGTTTGGCTTTAGATTAGTTTATTTCTGTGATAAAAAGTAACTGTCTTGAGTGAATAATAACTTTTCTCTCCAGCAGCTGCTCTTGCTTTTATTTCCAAGGAAGCATCCTTGTCTTCCCTGTAGTCATATTTCAGCAGAATGATGTTACTCTCCTATATGTATTATTTCCATTACACATATCTTTCACATTTTCCATTTGCTTTTACTTATGCTTCCCTAAGTTCCCCTTTTTCTGATTCTTGCATCTATGTTCACTTAGAAAGATCTGTTTTCATCCTGCTGCCATAATATGTTCATTATACAATATGCACCACTCGCTTATCTACGCTGCCCTTAGAGCAGTCTTTCTTAACCAGGGTTCTTTGGAATCCTAGGGTTCCTCAAGATGTTACTAGGGCTCCTTGATCTATGGCTGATTGACCACTCTTTTGATAATGTCCACCACTTGGCAGAGCCAGCTGCATGAAACCAATGATCTTTTTAGCTGTCTGTAAGGGGAAGATTCTACCCACTGACAACCAATGTAATATACATCCTTATCACTAACCCCTGATGTTGAACGAGAAGGCCTGGCTTGCAGTCTCCACTCTAATTCATCCCAAAGCTGTTCTATCGGGTTGAGGTCAGGACTCTGTGCAGGCCAGTCAAGTTCCTCCACCTCAAACTCGCTCATCCATGTCTTTATGGACCTTGCTTTGTGCACTGGGGTCCAGTCATTTTGGAACAGGAAGGGGCCATCCCTAAACTGTTCCCATAAAAGTTGGGAGCATGAAATTGTCCAAAATGTCTTGGTATGCTAACACCTTAAGACTTCCCTTCACTGGAAGTCAAGCTCAACCCCTGAAAAACAACCCCACACCATAATTCCCCCCTCCACCAAACTTTACACTTGGCGCAATGCAGTCAGGCAAGTACCGTTCTCCTGGCAACCACCAAAGCCAGACATGTCCATCGGATTTCCAGTCAGAGAAGTGTGATTTGTCACTCTAGAAAACACTTCTCCACTGCTCTAGAGTCCAGTGGCAGCGTGCTTTACACCACTGCATCTGACGCTTTGCATTGCACTTGGTGATGTGAGACTTGGATGCAGCTGCTCGGCCATGGAAACCCATTCCATGAAGCTCTCTATGCACTGTTGTTGTGCTAATCTGAAGGCCACATGAAGTATGGAGGTCTTTAGCTATTGACTCTGAAGACAGTTGGCTTCTGTGTACTGTGCACTTCAGCATCCACTGACCCTGCTGTCATTTTACGTGGCCTACCGCTTCGTGGCTGAGTTGCTGTTGTTCCAAGTTGCTTCCACTTTGTTATAATAGCACTAACAGTTGACCGCGGAATATTTAGTAACAAGGAAATGTCACGGATGGACTTATTGCACAGGTGGCAACCTATCACAGTACCATGCCTGAATTCACTGAGCTCCTGAGAGCGACCCATTCTTTCACAAATGTTTGTAGAAGCAGTCTGCATGCCTAGGTGCTTGATTTTATACACCTGTGGCCATTGAGGTGATTGGAACACCTGAATCCAATGATTTGGAGGGGTGTCCCAATGCTTTTGGCAATATAGTGTACCTCTGTTGGAGTACCTGGTATGTAAATATGACTTTTGTTTTGATGTATTTCAACCAATGTTAACAATTTTGCTGGAATCCTAATTTCCTGTAAAAGTTGACCCTTTTTTCATGGATGAACTAGTCATATGCTTGTTTGAGCTTCACAAGTATAATATCAAGGTCTACATTTCATTACATAGATTTTTTTCAATATTCAATATAAGCAGCAGCCTCAAAATTCTTGTTGTTAAAGCTAAATAATGTGCTATTCTGACAGACAAATCTCCAGCCCTATCTGTAAGTTCTGAGCTTTCTTGCTGTCTTTTTTACCTCCGAAGCATTTGTAATGGGCCACCACAGTGATGTGCTGCCTCACTTCAGCAAGAGGAGTGTTTATGAATGAGAAAGGCATGAGCAAGGTAAAGCTTTGCCTATCAGAATGTCCCGACATTCAACCGAAAATCAAGGTTACAAAGTACTGAAGCCAGAAAACTCAGGTTGGACTGGATGGGCCAATGTCTTTATGCAAGCTTAACGAAAACAAAACCCTTTCCTTTAATTTGGCCAGTGTTGGCTGAAAGACTATTTTCTCCTACCCAATACCCTACCTCAAATAATATCCTTTTTTTTGTATTCTCCCTGCAATAGACTTATTTTCATCTTAGCATTTATTTAGATCATCTTCTTGCTGGTTTGAATTTTCCAGAATGTGTTCTTGTTTGTCTGATCAACATTTTCATTCTCTACTTGTTTTATCCCAACATTACTAATTGATATTTTTCATTAAAGTAGCTCTAAAGACAAAACTTTTTTTTTCATTTTGAATTGAGTAAGGGAGGGTTATAGCACCCACTATCATTACCATCTGTGTCCCATTATGGAGCTTTCCCTGCACTTCTTGTCCCATAGCCAAAACAGAAAGGGAGAAGAAACACCTGGTTGCCTCCAAGGTCACTGTCTCCAGTGGATGATTTCCCCTCCGTCCCTGCTCTGATGGCAGCCCAAACATTGGGGTTTTGCTTTGCTTTTACTGTCAGTGATAATGGTAAACAGGACAAATAGAGGGTGAATGTCCCTAAAGGGGGCACAGAGTGGAATAAAAACCTAACAGGAGTTAAAATCCCTTTCCACTATATCCAAAACTAAAATAAACGTTTTGCCTCTTTCTGTCTTTCTTTTGATTTGCTTACTGGCTCTGCAACTGCTTTCCTAATTTGATACACCATTAAAATAAGATCAAGCTATAATATTACACAATGTGGACTTAAAGAGACTTATCAAATGTTGTCTTGGAACATTAACTAATTGGGTTTTTAGAAAGGAGATTAATAGCATGTATGAAAATATTTTTCCAGAGGACCTCAAATTAACTTAACTTCTGATATATTACTGAAATAAATAATAACATGTATATGTAAGTACTGCTTATCCTCCTTTATATGAAGTTTGTTAAATTAAAAAAAAATTTACATTTAAAATTAGGGTTTTTTTTAACCTCACTACAGTTTTGCAAGATACGTGCTACAAAAAAAATAGATCTAAAGCACTTTAACTAATCCTTGAAAGAGAAACATCTGAGGGTTACATGGGAAAATGATTTGAGAATGTTAACAATGTTTACATTGACCAACATTCCATTCCCTTTCCATGGCTGAAAACACTGTTCGTAATTCCCATCGTAAAGGTATGACCATATCAGGTATTGCAAAACTAAACTCCCTCAATTAACATTAACTATTTTTAATCCTTATGCTGCTAGCCTTAGTAATTAGTTAAGCACGCTGGCTAAATGGTTAGCACTTCCCCCAGGCAGTACTAGGGTCATTGGTTTGATTCCCAACCATGGCACCACCTGCCTGGAGTTTGCATGTTCTCCCTGTGCCTGTGTGAGTTTCCTCCCACACTCCAAAGACATGCTGGTAGGTTAATTGTCTCCTGTCTAAATTGGGCCTAGTATGTGTATATATGAATGTGAGTTAGGGACCTCAGATTGTACACCCCTTGAGGGTTAGGGCCTGATGTGAATGTACAAATATATATTTAAGCTGCGTAAATTAACGGTGCTATGTAAGTACCAGTAATAAATTATATTTACTTGTTTTAAACTTTTTTTTCACATTTCTTCAGTTGCTTCCTGGTTTCTGACCTAGGCCAAAATTATGTCATACATCCCAGGAGTCTACATGGATATTTTTTTTTTTCCTTTCATCTGGAAGAAGGGAGGAGGGACCTTTCTCAGCTAAGAACACCATCCTGCTTGCATGCCTGAGTTAAGGACAAATAGATTCTAGAAAGTAAATGCTACACAAATAAATAATCTGCCCTTACCCAAGATGGACTTTGCTATAAATGCTATGTGAATATGTTCTCAGCATAAAGCATGGAGACATGGATGGATGGATGGATGAGTTTGCTTTGCATATTAAAAATTAATCAAAAAGTGTTTTCGGTTTGTGGTGCTCAGATACAGTCGAGTTCCACTTTAAACCTGCAAACAATGTAATAATGACCACAGATTTTAAAGTAAGACATCGCAATGTAGCTTATACTTTCACTACATTTCTTCACACCTACCTAAAACGTTTGCTAAGTACTATACATCAGCATCACTCATGATGGTCAAGGAACTATTGGACTATGAAGGAGTTCACTTTACAGTGAGTGTCCAAAATGCTTGCCATGGCACACATATTTTTTCAGCATGTAGTGCAAAACTCCTCTCTAGCACACCCTGATCACTTTATTTTCTTTGGAGAAAAGGCGATAAGATTTTCACTGCATTTGATCTGTATGTGATCTGACATAGACAGCCCATAGATGAGTCTTTTTTTTTTTTTTTAAATTACTTGATTCCCCCGTCCATACACTCAGTGTGGATGAGGAAATCCTCCCTGCTGTATTCTGACAGCGGGAGGAGACTTCCTTGCCTTCAGAATACGCTGATCGGCACTGCCAGCTATAGCTGACATGGAGTAGATCGAATGGGGAAAATGCGAAAGGGCAGTTGTACAGAAATTGATTGGTAGATTGGCTTCTATATAACTTCCTGCCTATACATTGAAACTCAGCTGATCCCTGCTCAACTGGCCAAATTGTGATCCATGTATGGCCGGCTTTAAGGACAGCACTACATCAAATATCTTTGCCAGAGATGCTAGAGAATGCAAAAAGATGTCTCAGTCAGTGGTGTATTTAGGTTTTGTGCTGCCCTAGGCAACACAAAAATCGGGCACCCCCCCATGGAGAGAGCCTGACATTGACCAACAACACCCCTGCCCACCCCCCTGAGAGAGCCTTCCAGTAACACCTCCCCCAGCAAGAGAGAGAAAAACACTCACCTTCACAGCTCTGGACATCCCCCGGAATGAGAGTTGGGTTCTCCATACACCACCAAGCAGCCTGCAACCTCTCTCAGATCTCACCTGGTCCCCATGCCATATGTGTCCCTTTTTCCATCCCTTCGTCCGAGGGGCACTGCTGCCCCCCTAAAAAATGCTGCCCTAGGCAAATGCCTTGTTTGCCTTGTGGTAAATACCCCCCTGGTCTCAGTACCTGTTATACTTGAACAGATATGTGTATGGATAACCTTAGTTTTGAATGGTATGCCTGTGGAAACCAACGTTAATCGAACATATACACCATGTATTACTCTTGGGGCTATATTTAGAAGTGTTTTCACCCAAGATCCACACAGCTTTCACCTTCGATTCACACACGCTTCCAGTTCAATCCAGTTTTATAAAATGTCAGAATCTTGGGTAAAAAAAATTATAAACATGTAAGCAGGTGCTCATGGGTTGTCATTGTATTTCTGCTGTTGTATGCATTGCACTGTGTAGTTATACAGACAGTTGCAGATTGCTAGACTCTTTTCCCCGAGCTTTCTGATTCCTACTCCTGCCCTCCTGCTGTAAGCCACATAAATTCAAGTGGAGGGCTCAGAGCTGCTGGCTCTCTTCCAAGTGGGATTTCAGAGGAAGAACTGCTACAACATGTAGGCCTTACTGGAGTGCATGACCCCCTTCTTGGTAACCCTTCCAGGATTCTCCCTGAACGAGGAACCTACCATTACTGGACTTTTGCTGAATGAACTTTGCTTCTCTGGAAGGTATGAACCTGGCAGCCTGCATTAGTTAGTTAGGGCTGGACTGTGTTTCATGTGTGCTGTGCTGTGCTGTTGAACTGTATTGCTGAAATTTCAGTAAAGTTGTTAACTGTTTTAAGGGGTGCATGATGGTTTCTAGCTTATGAAAGAATAGAGTCTGTAAAGCACACATGGGTTACAGAAGCAAGGCCACAGAAGAGTCGGTGTAGGAGAGCAGTTGCGATGGGTAGCTATGAACTGGTGGAAAGTGTGCAGCAGCTTGTCAAAACGCGATACCTTTTGTAGGTGGAAAGTTCTTCCCTTCCGGTGCCCCCAAAAGTACCAGACCATACCCACATTATGGAGACCCATGGCCTGGCTGCATGGTACAGGGGAACAGAAAGAATTCATTTTGTGCACGCATGGGGTCCATGCTAGGTGTATGGTGGGACCCCATTCTGTCACTCTGAGTGAAGTGGCAGAGGTACAGGTACAGTGGACAGGTGGAAAGGGATTAAAAAGTTGATTGGAGAGCAGAAAACATATAAAGAAGTGCAGAAAATGATAGGCTGCTCAGCTAAAATGATCGCAAATGCTTTAAAATGGCAACCCAAACCTAAAAGACGTGGACGAAAGCGAAAAACTACCATTCGAATGGATAGAAGAATAGCCAAAATGGCAAGGACTCAGCCAACAATCAGCTCCAGGAAGATCAAAGAAGGTGTAAAGTTACCTGTGAGTACTGTTACAATTAGAAGATGCCTATGTGAAGCCAAGCTATCTGCAAGAAGCCCCCGCAAAGTCCCACTGTTGAAAAAAAGACGTGCTGAA